CAAAAAAAATTCCCAGCTGGAAAGAAACAAAAGCTTTGATAGCTCACAGGGAAAATCTCAACATTTTAAGGTGTTTTTTTTTTTCCCTTAAAAAAGCCACTGATGATGAAGAAGCTAAGATACTAATATTCAGATATTCAGTTCTGCTTTCTATTGAAGTGGCAAAAAAAATTCCCAGCTGGAAAGAAACAAAAGCTTTGATAGCTCACAGGGAAAATCTCAACATTTTAAGGTGTTTTTTTTCCCCTTAAAAAAGCCACTGATGATGAAGAAGCTAAGATACTAATATTCAGATATTCAGTTCTGCTTTCTATTGAAGTGGCAAAAAAAATTCCCAGCTGGAAAGAAACAAAAGCTTTGATAGCTCACAGGGAAAATCTCAACATTTTAAGGTGTTTTTTTTCCTCAAAATCTGGTTTTTTTGGTTGCTAATGCTCAAAAAAAAAGTGCTTCAATTTTTTTAGTATAATATTTTAGACAGTTCATTGAAATGATACATTGACAACACATTTATTTGTTATATTTTGACAAAACGTAATTTTTGCAAGTGTTTTAATCAAAACACAACCTGCCTATTTCTCCACATACAACTTTTAKACTTAAYCCTCTTCCTGATGTGATGGGTCACWTTTAACTTCTCCATKTCACTTTCACAACTGAGCGCAGATCACGCGAGATATCGCACGAGATTGTGCATAATGTTATTTAAAGTGTTGGAATGTTATTTAGGATAACTGATCAAGCTCTTATATAGGTTAAGTCTGGCTTAAAGACGGGGTGCGATGTGCACAACTTCAAGGAAAGCTAAGCACGTTTATAACGATGTGTAGTTAAGTTGTAATTAAGCACACCGGTTGCTTTTTGTTTGTTTTTTTTAGTTTGCTTCTCTTACCTATACATGCCTGGCTAGCGAGTACGGACGCGGTCAGAGCCCCGGCGGAGGCCCCGTACAGCCTGGTTGCCCCTTTCACAAGGTACGGAGCCTTCTCCAACAGGCAACTAGCAACTCCGATGTGATAGATCCCCAGGAACCCGCACCCGGCAAAAGACAAGTTCCAGCCGTCGTTTAGGTCGAACATGACGACGGGACATGCCCCGGCTGGGAGGTCCTGAGCGGGGACAGGTCGCTGGTAGGAGCACCGAGCTGTGCTCACCGCTGGCCCGCGAAGGAAAGCAAGCAGCCGCTGACAGCCCGTGGTATAAACAGTCTGTGGTGCGTTCAGGTACTGTCAGGATTGTGAACACTCTGAAACGTCCGCTGCGTTATTAAGCAGGTATTAAGTTGTAATTTGTAACAACCTAATTGTTTGCACAACAAATGTCTTTCTTCATTGTTTATAGAGGGGAAAATGAAAAGTATAAAGAGCTAGATTCTGGTATGTTTCATTTGTTTACTAATAAACTATTTGACATGCTGCGTTCAWGCTAACTCGGAAATCAAACACCTTATTTTCTCCCGTTGAAAGGGGAAGGCTGATGTATATTTGCCTGTGCACCTGCTTTACTTATTCATAAACAGGTTTACACTTGTTCTTAAAAATAAGAAAACAAAGAGTTTCCCTCATCAAATTAATAAAGAACTCATCTCTTTAGTTTCAAATACAAACTGTTCATAAATTAGAGTCAATTTAAGATGAACACAACATGGTTTGGTTCAGTCTGGTCCAGGTTTCTGTGGCTCTTCAGTACCTCTGCAGTGGCCCCCTTTAACTTTAACCAGACATGAACCTCAGTAAACTTGATAACATTAATAATAAGTATCCCCAGTTCAGGTTTTGAAAAAAAAAATCTGCTCAAACATTAAACAGTGATTAATTTTTTAATCTTAAAAATCCATGCAAGCAATTATGGGGTGCCGTTTGTAAAGTTACACAGTCAAAAATTACCACCAATATTTTTGTTTTATTTAACCCTTTATAAGAAAAAAACAGATTTATTTTTCAATATCAGTTTTTCACCATATGATTCACATATTTATAAATGTCAGTTTCTAAACTAAATATTTAACTTACAAATTGAACAGTTAGTTAACAAGGTAAGTATTTAACTTGTGACTTAAATATTTAGTTTTGAGCTGAATATTTAGCTTAAGACAAACATTTAGCTAGCTACCTAAACATTTAAGTTAAATATTTAGCTTGCAACTTAAATATTTTTCTTGCAAGTTAAATGTTTAGGTAGGTAGCTAAATATTTAAGTTGCAAGCTAAATATTTAAGTTGCAACCTAAATATTTAGCTAGCTACCTAAATATTTAAGTTGCAACCTAAACATTTAAGTTAAATATTTAGCTTGCAACTTAAATATTTTTCTTGCAAGTTAAATGTTTAGGTAGGTAGCTAAATATTTAAGTTGCTACCTAAATATTTAAGTTGCTACCTAAATATTTAGGTAGTTAGCTAAATATTTAAGTTGCAAGCTAAATATTTAAGTTGCAACCTAAATATTTAGCTAGCTACCTAAATATTTAAGTTGCAACCTAAACATTTAAGTTAAATATTTAGCTTGCAACTTAAATATTTTTCTTGCAAGTTAAATGTTTAGGTAGGTAGCTAAATATTTAAGTTGCAAGTTAAATATTTAGCTTGTTAACTAAATATTTAATTTGTACATTAAATATTTAATTTATAAACTATGACATTTATAAATGTATGAATCATATGGTGAAAACTGACTTTGAAAAATAAAAGTGTTATTTTTCTCTTATAAAAGGTTAAATAAAACAAACATATTGGTGATCATTTTTGACTGTGTAACTTTACAAACGGCACCCCATAAGCAATGCAAAAACGTTTTTATACAAACACAAATTATCACGTGTTTTAAAAGGGTTAATCATATTTTGTGGTTGTGTACAAAGGAGCGAGCTGCAGCCTGTGCGCGCGCAGCCCCCTCCCTACTTCATGGTGCTGATGCTGGCTGCTCGGGTACGCGCATTACATCACCTCTCCTGCTTCTGATTTGCCGCGCATCATCCAGTTCTACCATCAACACCATCATCACCATCCTCACCGTCACCACAGCCGGATCACCTCCGCCTGGTTTAAAGGATCGTTACGTGAACGCGCGTGCTTGCCTGGCTGTGTGTGTGTGTGTGGGTGTGTGTGTGTGTGTGTGTGTTGCCCTGGCGGCTGCTGAGGATGGCGGAGAGCGAGGCAGACACGCCGAGCACTCCGATCGAGTTCGAGAGTAAATATTTCGAATTTGACGGAGTGCGGCTGCCGCCGTTCTGCAGGGGGAAGATGGAGGAGATCCAGCAGTTCTCCCTCAGAGGGAGCGACGTGTGGATCGTCACCTATCCCAAGTCAGGTACCCAGGGCTGCCCGTCTCCTGCAGCCTCCTTCTCACACACACATCAGTGGTGATACTGCGAAGCCTCTCTGCAGGGTGGATGACAGTAATTGTCTGTTTCTATCAGCTGAAACAGCTTCTGTCAGCTCACGCATGCAGAGGTGGGTGAGTCAGAGGCAATAAACAGATTAAACTGCACTGCATTACCTCAGCCTGAGCTCTGACTGCCACATGGAGGTGAGCAGGGCTCCATCATGGAACCACCATGACAGTCTGAAATGATGCATTTCATTTATGTAACATTTTTATTCTGAGCAGTGCACATGTTCAATTGTAAAGTTTTACAAGCATCAATACAGGTTAATGTATGTGTGTGTATTATATTTTTACAATAAAACAAAGAATTTCATTTTAGATCTTCAATACATACACAATGTCAGTATTTACACTTCCTGAAAGTTTTCAGTGCTTTATTTTTCCATATTTTGTTACGTAATAGCCTTATTCTAAACTGGATTCTATTATGTTTCCACCTCGAAACACAATACCTCATAATGACAGCATAAAAAGAAGTTTGTTTGAAAGGTGGTGCAGTCTGAAGACTCTCTGCGAGAAGGCTTGAATCCTGATCAAGCTTTCTCAGTGGAGTTTGCATGTTCTTTCTGTGCACACGTGGGTTTTCTCCAGTTTACTCACAAACGCAAAAGCATGCATGTCCCGACAATGCAAGAATTAGCTATCTAACATTACGTTTAAAATAGATGCTAGTCTGAATCTTCTCAAATTAAGTGAAACTAGAGAAATTGCATTTCCTGCAAAAATGCAAGCGTGAATGCCTGTCGCAGAAAATGTAAGCTGAAAGCTGCTGAAGAAGCTGAAACTGAGCTGAATTAGCAAAGTATTGTTATAAGTTAAATTTGAAAGTAACAGCTAAAAAGTTGCTGCATTTTAGTTAGCATAAGAAGCAGATGTTTGCTTAATTTAGCAGAAAAAAGTTGTGAAAGCTAAAAAATACAAATTTAGCTTAAAATGCTAACTTTAGCTAATAAAGGAAAATTATTAGCTAAAATGGCAGCAAGTAGCTAAATATAGCAGAAAGCATCTGTAAGAAGCATAATTAGCACAAAGTAGCAGAAAAAGCAGAAGAATGGCAAAAAGAAACAGAATTTTAGCAGAAAGGGCAGAAAACAGCTAAAATTAGCATAAAAGTAGCTAAAATTAACATAATTATAAGCTAAATGTTGTAGACACTAGTATTAATTGGCAACCAGATGTTGAAAGAGTTGTAAAAAATGAAACTTGGAAGAAAAAACTGCATAAAACTAATAAAAAGGGATAATTTCTGGCAAATATGCAGAAGAAGAAACAGCAGAAGTTTTTTGCATAGCAGCTAAAAAGTTGCCACAAGTGTTTTAGATAGCATAAGGAAGCATAACGAGCACAAGTTTGCTGAATTTAGCAGAAAAAATTTGTTAAAGCCACAAAAAATATGTATTTAGCTTAAAATGCTAATTTTAGCTAATAACAGCCAAAAATTAGCTAAAATGGCTGCAAGTAGCTGAATATAGCAGAAAGCATAGAAGCATAATTAGCACAAAGTAGCAGAAAAAGGCAGAAGAATAGCAAAAAGAAGTAGAACATTAGCTAAAATAGCATAAAACAGCTAAAATTAGCATAAAGTAGCTACAATTTGCATAAGGTAGTTAAATAGAGCATAACCAGAATAATTTGTGTAAGGTTTTGTAAAGATTCAAAAACAATTTGAAGGGTTTTAAGGTTGTTGAAAATAGCCCCATTCATTTTCAATGGCAAAAAAGTAGTCGAAAAAGTGAAATAGCTAAAAAAAGTAAAAGTAGCTGAAATACCAAAAGTCATAGCACACCATTCCTGAATGAGCTGAATGTTTTGATGTATGAATTGTTGAAGTAGTGCAAAAATTGCGGAAGAAGTTAGAGTCCAAAAAATGTACGGAAGAATCCAAGGAATAAAGAATAAAAAGAAACATGAAATCAATACGATGAATGCCTTAACAGGCATTCACCCAATAATCTACCAGTGCAGACAATTTCCAGACTAACAAGGTTAATTATCTGACACATTGTGTCCTTCTCAAAACAAGATTAAATATATATTTTGGTCTGGATTTTACACAGTTAGACTTGGTTAGATGGACAATTTACAGTGTAGGGGAGAGTCTGAATGGTTGTCTCTGTGTGTCCTTGTGATGGACTGGAGATCTGTCCAGGGTGTCCCCACCTCAAACAAAGTGACTGAGTTAGACACCAGTGGTCTTGAAAGGAACAAGTGTGTAAAGATGAGATAGATAGCTTTGGTCTTGACACTTAAATCTGACTTCACTTACAACTTATGCCCACAGCGTTGGAGTCTACATTGGAAAACTGGACTGGGCATGATTTAAACAGCTTTATAAGGTGCCATAGCTGACAGTGCATGCTTCTTTATTTTTTTAAGACATAAAGTAATGGGAAAAAATTTAATTCATCCCTTTTTGTTCCACAGATTTCCATACCAGGATATAATAAAAATCTGTTGTTTTAAAATGATTTAAATTAAATTAAATCCTATTTCCATCATGGGAGAAGACGGAGGTCGTTACCAGAATGAAAGCAATTGCGTTCTTGTTTTGTGTCATTGTTCCTTAAGGGATTTGTTAGGACAGTGCAATAGAGGGCCCCAGTTGTGCTTTGAGAAAAGCACTAAAGCTTACAGCACCTGGATACCTCAGAGTTCATCTGGACAACAGACTGGACTGGAGACTCAACAGTGAAGCAGTCGACAAGAAAGGACAGAGCAGACTGTACTTCTTAAGGAAGCTGAGATCCTTCAGTGTCTGCAGATCTTCTATAAGTCTGTTGTTGAGAGCGTCATCTCTTCTGCCATCATCTGTTGGGGCAGCAGCATCAGAGTCAGGGACCTAAAAGGGCTAAACAACCTGATAAAGAAGGMTGGTTCTGTTCTGGGGACGACTGTGGAATCTCTGGAGATGATGGTGCAAAGAAGGATTTTACATAAAATCAAGAACATTGTGGACAACCCTGACCATACTCTTCATCAGACTGTCATAGAAAAACCTTTTCAGTTGGAGGCTTCTTAAGTTTGGTTGTAATACAGACCACCACAGATCTTTCCTGCCCACAGCCATCAGCATCTACAATAACTCTTTAGTTAAATGAGTTACTATAACATCTAATTTCCCTCTGGGATCAATATTTTTGAATTGAAATGAAATCAACCCCCAAGTGGAAAAAAAAACAGCGTTCTCCAGGTCACAGTTTAACAAAAATGAAGCCAAAATGAAAAAGCTGTGTGAGAAACTCATTCCAACACCTCTTAGCTCTTAGTAGTGGATTTGTTATCAGTCTCTCACATGGCTGTGGAAGAATTTGACTCATTTCTACTTTCAGTTCATTAAGGTTTGCAGATATTGGATTCTTCAGCTCTCTTTAGGTCACACCAGCATTTCGATCCACTTGAGTTCTGGACTTTAACTCAACTTTTGCAACACCTTGATTTTTTGGTCAGCTGTTCTGTTATAGATTAGTTGCTGTGTTTTGGATCATTGGGTCCATGCAAGAACATGTTCGTATTCTTATCCTAAATTTCTCTTACTTTTGTTCGTACAAAGGGTTCGTACGAACATGYCACGTCAGATTCAACAAACTCTTCTATCTTCAGGAAAAAGGTGTAAATGAGCTGCGTAAATTCCACCTTTTCTATCCAGTTGCTCATGCACACGAGAGGAGATTAACATAATTACCACCCCAAAAACACCATATAAGGCTATGTTTCCTGCCTCAGATATCAGGAAGCGTCCATTCATGAAAATGACAGCGAAAACTAAAAAAGAAAAACTTTACGAGTTCAGAGATTGAAGTCCGTCTGTCAGAGATCCAGAAAATAAAATCTGTCATTTTTATTAGCGTCAGCTGTGGAATAAAATGAGCTGCTAAAAGTATAAACAACTGTGTTAAATCATTTTCCTTTATTCAGAAGCCGCAGCGCTGCGCACCGTACCCCCGGCGCGGTCGCAAGTGGTCTCTGGTCACTCAGCGGGTCTGAAATAAGCATTTTAAAATGTTTTCAAAATATGTCTGGCACTTTGGAGAAAATCCAGGACTCAATGGAGGGATTATGTGTCCCGTCTGGCCTGGGAACATCTCGGAGTCCCCCAGGACGAGCTGGAAAGTGTCGCTGGGGAGAGCGGGGTCTCTCTGTTGCAGCCCCTGTGACTCGATCCCGGATAAGAGGCAGAAAACGGACGGATGGACAATTTATATTGTTAGTCTAAATTATTACATTTAAAATTATAACTCTAATTCAAGCAGAATAGCCTATTATCAAGATAATCACAGTGTAATTTATTTTCAACTCAAAATATCTTCAAACTGACGAAATATAAAGTTATTAGGGAGGAAAATCCGTCTGGATAACAGCAGACTGACTTCACGTAAAATATACGACAGGTCTGGACCACWCGTGAATTTTGTTCGTATCTGAAGAAAATCTTAGAATACAAAAACATTGGTGAATGCCACAAATTCTCCTAAATCACTCGTACRCACAACTTAAGAACAAATCTGTGCATACGAACGGTTCTTGCATGAGGCCCAATGTCTCTTTGCATCATGACCCAGTCTGGTCCTTATCCTATTTTGGCCAGTTTTAAGATGAAAACTAATGAACTGAATCATTATGATTTTAAGATCAACCAGAAATAATAATAAAAAATGGAACACAGAATGAGCTCACAATCAGGCCAAGGTTAAGAAAGTTAGTTTACTCTTAGAGCAGAGGTTTGCAGATTAATGTGTAATGTGAAAATTATTCTTACTAGGTCCACTTGGTTGTCCAAGTTCTGGGGGTTACCGTCAGGTTGTGGTTCTGCTCTCCCGCAGAAAACATCCAGACAGAGAGGTGAATAGATGGTGTGACTGAGAGCAGGCAGACAGAGAGAATGCTTCAACTGAACTGCAGGCATGGCAGACATTGGACCAGGTAAGAGGTTCCAGGGGACCCCAGAAGGAACAGGTACATCCAGCAACATGTGGAGATCACTACAGAGAACAGGTAGGTATAATGCAAATTCATAAGAAGCACATGAGCAGATGATTTAATCAGCATTAGTGACTAACAATCCACCAGAGACTCAGCCTTATGAAAGGTAGGAGGTTGATGAGCTGATTAGGCTCAGCTGTGTCCCAGCTCTGCTCAATACAAYATCTGAAATTACATCAGCAGAGAGAGAAAACTAGAAAAACAGAGTCTTCAGTTCAAGCTTCAGCCCTGGGACAGATGCCCTCATATTTGACTCATTCTGATCTACAGAGGAGTTCATGGTCAGCTCAACGACTAGGTACCCAGGTTCCAAACCACCAGCCCTCTACCATTGTATGACCGTGTCCAGTGGACATTTTTCCAGAAGTCCTGTGGTTTATCCAGATGACACTTTGCAAACCCACGATGTTCTGCAATGTTCTTTTTGGAGAGGGTTTCTCTTACAGCGCTACCAGACAAGTCATAGTTGTACGTCCAACTGTTCTTCCATCCATCCAATACGCTGCCTGTCCAAAACACAAGTGTCCACCTGGATGTAACTCCGGTCTACAACGTGAGATTGCTGCAGTTGGTCAGGTCTAYATTCAGCAACAGTTTGTGCTCAAAGAATGAGGTCAGCTAACTACCTGAATATAGTRAATGACCARATTATTCCATCAATGGATTGTTTCTTCCCTGATGGCACGGYCRTATTCCAAGATGACGATGCCAGGATTCATCAGGCTCTTATTGTGAAAGAGTGGTTCAGGGAGCATGAGACATCATTTTCACACATGGATTGGTCTACATCTCTGTCTACATGTTTTGGGTATTGGTCATCCATTAGTTTATTGTACCATGTCTTCTTTAGTTATGCAAGGCCATGTTTTTTTACCTACTGTTTGACTATGGATTGTATGTTGGAGATATGCTTTCTTCCAGTTGGTTTTAAAAGAGGCTTACAGTAGCTCTTCATTGAACTTTGCAGTTGGGCAGCTACTTTGGTTTCTGTCTTTCGTCTTCACTAGTGATGGTAAGTGGTGGATCAGCTTTAGTATTCAGTTAAGTATCCAAAACGTTTTGTTTGATGATTCTATTTGAATAAGACCCCTGCCAACTTTGTCATAATTATACCACCATTCATCCACAGCCCCTTCAGCAAGCTGTCTTTTAGTCACTAAATCCTTCACTTATCAAAGTGCTTACTGCTGTTAAAGGGACAATATATCAAGTTATTTTGTAGTCTGTAAAATCTATAACAGAAAGTGCTGTATGAGTGTGTGAATGAGAAACATTGTAAAGCTCTTTTGAGAAAGTGAAAAGGTTATAAAAGTGCTACAAATCTAGAGYGTTTAGCTATTTTTATACTCCTAAGAAATTGCATGAGCTGCGTTATGAAATGCCTGAAGAAAAAGAAGCACCACGTTTTACACAACAGTGAAAAATAGACTTTTCCAGGAAATAATGACCTGACTGAAGCTTATTTTCTTCGTATCAGTGACGTCTGACCGGAGCTGAAGTATTGGGACATCTTGTTCTACAGATTAATGCCAAGAACTTTCATTTGTCTCAAATGGGTTCCATTTTGAAACGTTCCAGGGAATGCCAGAACAGAACTTGGTGACCTTGGCATGAAAAAATATATGTTACATCTTTTCCCCCCCAAGTATCCTGTCTCTTCTGTCAGCTTGAGATGATATGATGGCTTTACATATCTGACTCATTTTTGTTTCATGCTTAACTCCCAAATAGCTGTGATGGTTAAAAAAGACAAATCTTGAAAAAGGTCATCCTTCCATTATCTACCTGCTTCTTCCTTTCAGAGGGGGTCACTGGTGCCCATATCTAGCAGTTACTGTGAGATGGGCGGGGTGCACCCTGGACAGGTCTCTTGTCCATAACAGAGACACATAGAGACAAAACCATTCACACTCACAGGGACAATTTTGAGTTATCAATTAACTCTAGCCAGACTGCCCGGAGAAAACCCACACATGCACGGAGAGAAACTCTACTCAGAAGGGTCCCTGGGCCAGGATTTGATCTGGCAACGTTTTTGCTGAGAGGCATCAGCTCTACTAAATGAGCCACCCCATCCTAAAATATCYTTCTAAAATTTTTAGTTACAAACACCAAACATTTTAGTTACCAAACACGTTACTTCATTTGGATAAAAAAATGACCACTTATACTGCATTCTTTAAATGGATATTTATCATTTCATAAATAATGCATTTCTTCCAGTTACATATTTTTACCACTATTCCTCCACTTGTTTTTTATTTTATCCCTAATGTGGTGTTCCACTTTCACATCGGAGGAATGTGGTATTTTCACTGGGCAGACTGAAAACAGTGCCTTCTTTGTGGCAGTGGCTGCTTTCTCATTTCAACTAAATTGCTTTAGTTTAGTCTGAGCACCACTCTCCAGCGCCATCCTCCTGCTGGTRGGGATCTCCTGTCACCCATCTCTGTGGGTTTCCAGTCATCACTTCCTTTGGGTCTCCTACCACAGTCGCCTGCTTTTACATCCCTAGTGTCATCTCGCCTCAAGCCCTCTGAGCCTCCAGCACCATCAGTAGCAGTTAGCTATGCCTGCAGTTGCTGTTCCTGCACAGTCATCAGTTCTTACACCTCCAGATAGCTGTATGCCTTTACTCCTCCCAGAGCTCTCAGTTCCAGTCTCTGCACCTTCAGTTTCAGTTTAAACACTTTACAGTTTTTGGTAGGTGGCGGGGGTGGACGTTGCCCAATCGTGGCACTGGAAATACGGCATTATGTAAAAGAGTAAAAGAACAAATTATTCTCCTTTTTAAACTTGCTTATTTTGCCCCATTGAATCGTAACTTCAAAAACTGAAATTGATTTAAAATGTTTATTAAATAGATAATAAATATTACTGTATTATCTATATTAAATAAATAAATTTAGTCAATTCAATTAACAGTTGACACTACTTTTTTGTTTGTTTGGGTAGAGATTATATAAAATTCAAGTTTTTACCAAAATTAATTAAACTTGATCATTTTTAATCTAAGATGATTATAGTTTAATTCAGTATGAAAGGCGGTGTTCAATAGCCATTCCTTCAATGATGCTAGTTCTTGTATTTAATAAATATTTTGATCCCTCCTGTCTGCCTATAGTGTTTGCTTCCAGAGCCACCCCACCCCACTATCACAAGCAATGTCTAAAGATAACACCTGTTTCATTTCCTTTCTCAGGAATGTCAAAGTCCTCCATCAGTAACACTACGACAGCGTAGGTCATTGCTGAAACAGACTCTGTGGCAGCGAATGATGATATATTCAGGCTCTGATAGCAGTTTATCTGTTATCTTATGACTTCAGCATTTCCTCCCATGTTACACTTACTAAAAACAAATCATACTTTATCATACATGCTTTGTACAAGATATCAGAAGGAGTCTGTTTAACCTTTGGAACTGTACTTACAGTATATGTTGTAAAAACATTTTATCTTTCTACAACCCCTGGCAAAAAGTATGGAATCGCCAGTCTTGGATGAGCACTCATTCAGACATTTCATTCTGTAAAACAAACTCAGATCAAAAACATGATACAATAATAAGGTCATTCCAAAGTGCAACTTGTTGGCTTTCAGGAACACTCWAAGAAATGAAGAGAAAACATTGTCAAAGTCAGTTCTTCAGAATTGAGTGATTCCATATTTTTTTTCCTGTGCTTGGTCAATAAAAGTAACATTCACTGACTTCCACAATGTTTTCTCTTCATTTCTTTGAGTGTTCCTGAAAGCCAACAAGTTGCACTTTGGAATGACCTTATTATTGTTTCATGTTTTTGATCTGAGTTTGTTTTACAGAATGAAATGTCTGAATGAGTGCTCATCCAAGACTGGTGATTCCACACATTTTGCCAGGGGTTGTATACCAGGATTGTTCTCTCTGCACCCTTAAATCAGTTCCTGTTTGTTTCTTTTTTAAACACAGGCACCAGTTTACTACAGGAAGTTGTGTATCTTGTAAGTCAGGGAGCAGAAGGAGGCGACCCTGATGAGATTGGTCTTTTGAACATTGACGAGCAGCTGCCTGTCTTGGAGTACCCAACACCTGGGCTCGACATCATACAGGTACGGTTACCAGCAGGTTAGTATTGAGTGTCTTATCAGAAGTGACATCAGTCGTATGAGCTTTTGAGAAAGAGCCAAACATCTTAGTCCAAAATCAGTCAATCACACTAAATAAGAGACATTTTTAGGCTTCTAAAGCAACCCTGTCTCAATAAAAACACAGTGTGAAAGAACACATTTCTTTGATTTGTTGGTTTTCTCAACTCAATATCTATATTGCTACTTACACCGTAAATGAATGTGCAGAGCACAGGTTAGATTCACTTAACCAAGTTATGTCAACAATTTCCACTCAGCTGAGTTGAGTATGTGTAAAAAAGAATTCACATTTATTTTTAAAGAAAATCTGAAAGTTGCTTTACATTTACTCAGCACAGATGAGTGGAATTTGTCAACATAACTTGGTTAAATAAATCCAACAATCTGTTTTTTAAGCGGTGCTGAGTCTGATTCTTATCAGTCTGCTAGGAGTTAAGAAAACTATTTTCTGATAGAAGCGCCTATCAGGCCGTCTTTTTCATAGTACAAAGTGTTAGAAATCTGTAGATAATTGCTTAAGTTACATACTGTATATTAATCTGAGACAATCATCTTACTGTTACAAACAGGACAAATAGTTTTTCTTCACAAAATGTTTTCTAAACTACATGTGCCTGTCAGCACTTACACATTGTTAAGAACCATTGATTTCTGTTTTTGTGCTTCCACAGGAGCTGACATCACCTCGCCTGATAAAAAGCCATCTTCCGTACCGATTTCTCCCAAAAGCCATGCACGACGGAGAGGCCAAGGTCACTTGATCAAAATATTTATTGCATTGAAAATCTTATCTAATCATCTTTATTCAGTAGTTGTTTAAGGTACACTATGTGTACTGAATAATCTTGACTTTCCTGCGGCTTAGGAGCATGGCACCAACAGAACCATAACCTTTTTTAAGAGTGCACCAATAAATCGATTGACCCCAATTTCCTTAATTTTGGGACATTTGCAATCAGCCAGTGATTAGATGAGAAGCTGATTTTATCTACTTCTGTAAAGGTCTGAAAATCAGCCACTGTCCCCTTTTGCTCTGCTGTGAGCACTACCTTATGTCAGTCAAACCAAGTTTGGATTGTTTCAAGGGTTTTGTTCAATTTTTTTTCGACAAAATAAGATTGGAACATTGAAGGTATACTGTGACAGCAGTGTCAGTTATTTAAAAAATCAGTATTGGCAGGTCAGGCTTTTTAAAGATCAATAATCAGTGATCAGTCAGAAAGCTGTAATTGGTGCACCCTCTACCTTCCTGTTGTAGCTTCCATCTCTATTCCAAATAACATTACACAAAAGTAATAAGATGACTGCTGTTTGTTTTTCAGGTAATCTACATGGCCAGAAACCCCAAAGACCTGGTAGTGTCTTACTACCAGTTCCACCGTTCTCTCAGGACCATGAGCTATCGTGGAACCTTCCAGGAGTTCTGCCGGCGCTTCATGAATGACAAGTGTAACTATACTTTACTAAAAGGCCCGGTTGTTTTTATTAGTAGCTTCACTGCTTGTTATTCATTGTGTTCAGTCCATCACTCTCACGGGCTTTTCTTCCACAGTGGGATATGGTTCCTGGTTTGACCATGTTCAGGAATTTTGGGAGCATCGTGATGACTTGAATGTCCTCTTTTTGAAATATGAAGACATGTATAAGGTAAATGTCTGTTTTTTAAATAACTGTCCGGTTTCTTTAAGAATTTTTTCAATGTCACATGTTTTTGATCTTATGTGTACTATGTGCGTCCTTGTTTATGTGTCTCTGTCCAAAAAATAACTCATGAAGCATGCAACCTTCTTAAAGTATTCATTGGATGTGCATCTACAACTGATTAACTTTTGGAGTTAATTCAAGATGGCCACTACAGCAACACAAAATATCTATAAACCAGTCTGTGTAGACACAGTTTGGCAAAAAATTATTCAAAATATATATTCGTCCTCAATATGTGTGAAACATGTTATAGTTCAATTCAAGGTAGTACATCGTCTACACTGGTCTAAAGACAGATTGTGCAAATTCAAAAGGGACTTGGATCCGACATGTGATCGTTGTAAACAATCTCCTGCCACACTTTTACACACATTCTGGTCTTGTCCGAAGCTACATGGATAATGGCAAGGCATCTTTGGTACCTTTTCAGGACTATTTGGAC